GGGTGGTGGCTATGGCACTCGGCTGATGGTGGGAAGAGGTGGAAGGCCACGTGTAGGGTGATCCAGCCCTGTAGGCTAGGGTTTTGGGGGCACGCGGGGTGGTTACGTGCTCGTTGGTGCTCCCAATTCAAAACCCCGGTTGTCAAAAAGGTGAACTGGGTGGCTTCAGCAGTGTGGGGCCGCGGTGGCGACGTCAGCACGGCGCGGCGTGAGCTAGGGGAGGCGTGGGGTGCCACATTTTGCGGACATGGCGTCCATCCATGCGCCCTCGCTCAACGGCCTAGAAACGAGCGGCGGGGATGCGAGGCAAGGCCTCGAATGCTCGCCGGCAAGGTGCTCTGCCTTGGTGGGGAAAAAGCAAAGGAGGGGAAAAGGTAGGGGATGACAGGTGGGCCCCGCCCGTCAGCAGTAAGGGGAAGGCGACGGCGTCCGTGTCGTGATGCGGCACGGGCATGGGCCATTGCTGGGCTGCACGACCACGCGCGCGCGAGTGCGAGCGTGGGTGGGTTGCTGGGTCGCGTCTACTGGGCCAGCGGCGGTGGGTTGGGTTGCTTTGGCCTTTTCCCATTTTCTCCTTTTTCTAAACCGTTTTCTGTTTCCTATTTCCATTCTATGCTATACATTGGGCTCCTATGCATGTATACATGTGTTGCCAAGCATGTACACATCCTTATGGGGTCCACTAGGGGTCAATTAGGGTATTAGGGTCAATGCCAAGGGTTGGCAACAATCACACAACAAGAATGTTAAAAAGGTTTACTTGATTTTATTTCATCACATAAAATCATGAAGAAGCAACTCACAAGTTGATTAATATGCAAATGCTCAATCATGCTAACTTGGGATCTACTTGTGCAACTACAAGGGTGGTTTCCTAGTATGCACACTCACCATGTATGGGTTTTGTCAGAAAAAAATTTTAAGTTTAGATTTTTGGTTCTAGGAAAACCTAGGTTGTTACATGACCTATGCGGTAAGTATTCTTGTAGTTGCATCATACTATTGCATCATGTGCATTTTTGTCATGAGCATATGCATCTAGCCAGGTCGGTGAGAAAGTCATATAACTATTCCGGAGTGCTCTTGAGGTAGGTCGGTGAGAAAGTTATATGACTATTCTGGAGTACTCTTGTGGATTATGTCGTTGGCTATGGTCACGACTGTACTGGTACAGCATCATACGTTGCAAGAGGAGGGGTACGATGCAGCTTCATACCTTGTTGGTATGGAGATCATGGACATGCATATGCATTGCATTTGCACTCTTTGAAGGTTATGTGTATTGAAGTTTTATGTTGACATGAAGTGGATATGAGGAGGATTATTTCTATTTATATGAGGAGTATTGTTTCATTTATAATACGAGGAGTATTGTCTAATTCATGTATGGAGGTAGTTCATTTATTTTATATCATGTCCTTATTTTCTTTATGGAAACTTTGTTGGATTAATAATCTTATCACGAACCTTTTATGTATAATAATGACATGTATTCTTCTATGATTAAATTGATGTCTAATAAAATGAATGACATGTTTAGACAGTTTGCTTGCTGAGATTTATTCTCACCCCATTATATTTTTCAGGTGCTTGATTTGGATGCTTTGGTTGAAGGGATGAATTAGCGGCACATCTTCACTGTTTCACCCACTATTAGAGATAATAAAGATGTTTTTGGCTTGATGTAATAAACTAGTTTATCAGTCATGGAGATCCTTCGTGGTGTAAAGAAAACATAGCGATGAAATTTATCTTAATCATAGTTTTGTTCTTATCGTTGCTTCTGCGTTTACTTTGATAAATGGGTTTTGATGGAGTTTTCACGCTCTGGCATGTAGGAACGGACGTTCGTAACATCTTGGGCTTTTGTGGCGCCTAGGGTGTTACCGTTGGTATCAAAGCCAGTTTTAGATTCTCCGAAAATAAGGATTAATTTAACACAGTTGCACATATAGGTCGGGTATGAGTTTGTTTATCATTGCATATACTTTGTTGTTACTTGTTTATAATTGTTTTCTTAGGCTATGAATTGCATGAATTTGATGCGCTTGCCTTTTTGTGTTTATCGTGGTTGTAGCTATGCCTATTGAGATTGAGATGTTTGCTTTTGCTTAACTTTCCTTGATGTTTATGTTATATATCATTGCTATTGTTAATTTTGAGTCAAGTGCAAATTTTATTGGCTTTGTTTACATAACCTTTATTTGGTGTTGCCATATGTTGTATATGTTTAAATATGATCTATAATCCGTATGAGTTATCCTTACAAGCATATACTTGCCTAGTTTTTGCCCCCATGATGTTTGTTCCTAACTATACCTTTAAGTGTAGTAGTTTGTAGTGCTTGAGTAGTGATGATGGTGAAATGTTCTATATGTTTTTGTTGATAGCAAAAGGATTTGTAAACATGTAAAGTAGCTATAGTCTCGTAGTGCAGATGGACGGGGTGGAGGGCCCCAAGAATGCTTTTTTTGCACTACTACATGAGGATTGCCCGAGAGATAGGTTGCGACCCAACTATCCATATTTGAAGAAAATAGTGGAATGACGGGTGGACTGACCCCCATGCCGTGCACTCTAGCTAATTTCCTTGACATATTGATTGGTGGATTGTTGTGACATGTCCTATATGTTGGTCAGAAACAAATATTTGAGCTCAAAATGACTTACCTAGGTTCAATCTAAACCTAGGGACTTGCAGTTTTGGAAAGGTTTGCTAAAGGTCAAGGAGGATTTTCTGTGGTGTGGGATTTTCAAAATAAGAGATGGCTTACAAACCAGATTTTGGGAATACACATGGTAGACTCTACACCCCTAGAAGAGCAATTTCCTAGCCTATACAACATAGCCAATTGTCCGCACAACTGTGAAGACGGTCATGAATCAAGTGCCTATTAATGTCCCTTTTCATAGAGCACTAACTGAGGATAAATGGATGGCTTGGCTTAACCTAGTAGCTAAAATAGCCAATGTTCAACTTTCCAAGGAGATGGATATTTTTAACTAGGGCCTACATAATCATGGTCACTTCTCTGTACGATCAATGTATGCGTACATGATAAACCAAGGTACTCTCTTTACTAATAAATGCATTTGGAAATGGAAGCTTCCACTTAAGATAAAAATCTTCCTTTGGTACCTCCTAAGAGGTATTATCTTAACAAAGGATAATTTAGCTAGGAGGAACTGGACTAGTAGCCAAAAGTATTGTTTCTGTGATCACAATGCAACAATAAAGCATCTTCTTTTGATTGCTGCCATGCGAAAACTATTTGGAATATTGTTCATATTGCTACTGGGTTAACCCCACCTAGATCTACTACTCACGTGCTTGGAGGCTGGCTCACAGGCATGGGGAGGGAGGATAAAACATAGATTTTTATGGGATGTGCTATTATTATTTGGGCAATTTGGTGTACTCGTAACGACATTGTTTTTGAGAAAAACAAAATATTTCTTTTATGCATGCTATTTTTCAAAGGAGTATATTGGTTGCGATTCTAGGCGCTCCTACATCATGAAGATAAAAGGGAGACGTTTCGATGTGCAAGCAAAGCATTGGAGGTTATCGCTCTAGATGTATTTGCCAAGAATGGATGACAAAGTAATAATAGATTTTGCTTATGATTTTCTCCTATTTGAGTACACAATTTCTCTTTATCTTGGGGAGCAAATAAGCTAACAACATTGTAATACTTGGCTGTATGCGGTCACAGAGGCTGGAATTTTTCCGTTTTCTAAAAAAATATTTGAAAACTCTGAACAAAAATAAAATTAAAAAACATAGAACTAGAAAGTTCCATATCTCTTCGAGTACAATAACTTAGGTTTAGGTTATGGCCCGGTTCGCTTCGCTGAAAAAACAAGCCAAAACACTGTTCCGGCTGATTTGTTGTGAGAGAAAAACACTGTTCCGGCTGAAAAAGACGGATTATAAGAGAAGCTTCTCCATCGGAGGTTAATTTGAAACAATAAGAAATATAAATTTAAAAATCATTAATCTTAAAACTAAATTTCCAGGCCTTAAATGATTTCAAATGGAAAGATTATTAAATACAAAGTTGCATAACTCTTTGTGTACTACAATTTAGCTTAGGTCATTTCTTCATCCAAAATACTTTTTAAAAATCAACAAAATAAATTTCAAATTCTAAAAACTTAAAACAGAATTTTGGGACACAAAATGATTTTAAATTAAAAAGTAATCAACTACAAAGCTTTAAATCCGACAAAGGATCATCGAATGCGGCGGAGTGAGATTAAGTACCATCTATTTCAATAACTAGTATATAATTTAAAATTAATGACAGTTGTCATCCAGCAAAGGATCATCGAATGCCCTTATAGGCGGAGTGAGATTGAGTACCATAAATGCACGTATTTGTTGGTGATGCATGCATGCACCCATGGACGTACGTCGTCAACAAAGTGGATCCGATGGAGTTATTTGTAGTCCGCAGGTAGATATGGGCAGCAGACAGAGCAAGGGGTGATCAACTTGGAACGGCATTAACTCTTTAAGACTGCAAAGGCGGTGCCAGATTTTGGTAGCTCCTTCATCACTACAAGCTAACAGCGGCACTTAACTTCTGCCGCATCCGAATGCTTGGATTCAGCAGCTCGATCCTATATAAACCCAGGACGGCTCCTTCTTCATTCATCTCCATCAATCCACTGGTACCTAGTTAATTCTTGTGATCTAGCCGGAAGAACAAGCCAAGCTTTCCGTTTGCCATGGGGGCTCTGCCTCGCTGCCTGCTTGCTGGCATCTGCGCCGCCGTCCTGTTAGCGGCAGCGGTCGCCCATGGTGCGGAGCCTGAGACGGCGTCAAGGGTCGTCGGCTTGGCCAAGTGCGCCGACTGCTCCAGGAAGAACATGAAAGCTGAGGCGGTATTCAACGGTGCGCTGATATAATTTATATATATGCTACTGCCCTCCTACCATTTTTAGTTTTGCATTTTTTCTGGGCAAACTTATATATTGTTTGGTTCCTTGTTCAGGCCTTCAAGTGGCTGTCAAGTGCAAGAACGCCGACGGCGTGTTCGTGACCAAGGCCTTGGGCGAGGTTGACAAGTCCGGCGCCTTCAGCGTCCCCCTCGCGGCTGACCTGCTCCGCGAGGACGGCGAGCTGAAGCAGGACTGCTTCGCGCAGCTCCACAGCGCAGCCAACCAGCCATGCCCCGGACAGGACCCGTCTTGGATCGTCGGGCCAACCAGCGACAGCCAGTACGACGACGACAAGATGAAGAAGACCTTCGTCGCAGTCGCCGGCAAGGTGCACTACCCATCCAAGGAGTGCGCCTCTGCGTTCCTCTGCTACCATTTCTTCAAGAAGCACCTCTTGCACAAGAAGCCCATCGTGATTATCCCTCACATCCACAAGAAGCCGTTGCCAGAGTACAAGCCGCCGACAACGACGACGCCTGTGCCGATGTACCACTCGCCCGTGCCGGAGTACAAGCCACCCCACCCGACGCCGACTCCGATCTACCATCCTACAGCTGAGCACAAGACCCAGAACCCTGAGACGGACCCTGAGAAGTTCAAGAAGCTCCTCCCCTTCATCAAGAAGAACCCCTTCTTCTTTCCCAAGTTCCCCAAGTTCCCTCCGGGCAAGGAGGAGATCAAGGAGTAGAAAAATGGGTGAGAGACGAAATGTACTCCGTTCGTCTGCATCTACTGTTATGTAGTGTCTGCTTGCATGGATTATCATTACCTCTTTTTGTTTCTTGACAGTGTTTGTCAGCTCTCATAGGCCAGCTGGCCTCCCGCTAATACAAATAAAACTTTTGTTCTGAGCACATAAACCTCGATGAAACATGAATGCGATTATTTGGTGTAGGGTTTCTGGGTTAGGCATGTCTTATATATGGTCGATCTGTCTCACAGACATATTTTTTTTATATGTAGTACACATGGTATTTAGACTGTGCTTGCGAAGGCCTCTGCATGCCTTTCTAGTAGTGAAGGTAGAAGATTTGGTGAGATTTCACAGAGTGTAGTCTTAGTTCAGATTTCAGAATTGAGACAGCACTCTGCCATACTACGCAACATGGTTGAATTGGAACCTACAACTACAAGGGGACATTGCTTGCTCTTCAGTACCAAGGTACAACGCATTTGTAAGTTGTCATATGGAACTGAAGCCTAGGTATATAGATGGCAAAATGGGCCAAGCCTGATGGGCTGGCACGGGCACAGTCCGAAAAAGCACGGCCCGAGCATGGCACGGCACGAAGGTCCTAGTGCCAGTGCCGGCACGGGCACGGTCATAGTGCCATGCCTAAGCCGCGACCTTGGCCCGCAGGCACGGCACGAGCACAGCATGACTTTTTGGCCAGCACGATGCGGCACGATGTTTTTCGATCGTTCGATTCTCTCTAGGTGAATCCCAATCATTGGATCAGCAATGAGTATCATATATAAAGGTGACTTCCTTCGAAACCCCAATTCCCCACCCCTGCTTCCGCCGACTCCCGAGTCCCGAGTCTGTCCGAACTCCCGTCCCCTTCACACGGCGTGGCTTCCGCCGCCTCCCTTGGCCATGCCTACGGACGCCCACCCACCCGCTCCACCCTCTTCTTCCCCAGCCGCTCCACTCCACCTCCATCCTCCCTGCGACCCTGCCTAGGACGGTTGCCGCTTCCAGCCTCACTCTCGGACGCGTCGGCGTGACGACCTTGCTTGGTGGCAGCACGATGTCTTGCGCGAGGTGCGGCGGTGGCGGCGGCGGCGCAGCAGCTTGCACCTCGGCATGGCTGCGGCGACGCGTGTCCTTGCGGTGGCCGCGCTCGATTGCAGCGGCGTCGAGTCGATCCTTGGGCGGAGCCGGGCTTGTGGAAGCATGCCAGGCAACTGTGCTCGTCGGCACGGCACGGCAGCACGATGCGGCACGGCATGGCTATGGCATTGTGCCCAATAGTGCCGTGCCTGGCTGTCCTCGTGCCCGTGCCGTGCCGTGTGGCCCGGATGGCCATGTATACCTGACTGGGTAAATAAAAAGGAGTGTCATCGTAGTATGCATAGAGTAGAAATGAAATTCACTATTAAATTGAACATAAAACAACACTTGACTAGTACTATTAGTAGAGTTAATAATCTGAAAATCAACAACTTATCTCTGAACAAGCAAATCTTTCGCGTCCCTGATTACTGTACAACTTACCCCATGGTCCAACAGTTCAGAATAGCAAGCTAAGCAACGTCTAAAAGATATGTGTTGACACTAAAAAATGCCCCGAGGTGGATTATAGGCATCTCCAGCAAGTTATATACATCATATACGTGCTGCACTACCACAAAACAGAATAGCCTTGGGGGTTGAAAACCCTCAAGCAAGGAAAGCAGTAAGACCGCCAAGGAAATACTCCTGGCGGCCAACAACACTCAAGGAAAGACCACCAAGGATAGAGAGTCAAGGAAATAGCTATTACCTTAAGTGCCGGCCGCTACAAATCAATTCCTTGAGGGTTGAGCCACCATGAAAACAAATAAGTGGTCAGATTTTCACCAATGTCAAGGAAATGCAACAACACCTAAGGATATATGTTTCCTTGAGTGCCGATGACACCTAAGGAAATGTAGCATATATGTTTCCTTGAGTGCCGATGACAGCCAATGCAAGGAATGTAACACTCCTCAAGGATGAATGTTTTCTTGAGTGCCAATGACACCCAAGGTATATATATACCTTGAGGCCCTCATGGATATACATAGGAAAAAAGAGAAATAATCACATGTTTGTTATAGCTGGGAATCCAACTCGTGACCTGAGATTTCGAATGGAACTCACTTACCACTACACCACGATGTCTCTTGTGACTAAGTGAATGTTTCTTTCTTTTTGTTTTCACTTCAGTGGATCTTGTAATGAATATTAGGGAGCCTAAATAATTTCAAATCAAAAAAGTTTGAACTGAAAAGTTTTATATGTCGTCGGGTACTACAACTTTGGTTTAGGTTGTATCTCCATCTGAGGACATTTGAAAGATTCAGAAAATTTGAAGTTCAAAACTCTGAGAACTTAAAACATAGTTTGTGGACTCCAAATGATTTCAAATAAAAAGTCATCAACTACTAAGTTGTATATCTCTTTGGGCTCTATAACTTTGATATAAACTTTGCCTGCATATGATATTAGTATGTTGCATGTTAGTAGCTTTAAAACTAACTAGGCATCTCAAGCTAAGTGTCAGTATGCATTATCTAATGCATGACAACACAAAATTATAACTTTTGTGGGATTAATGTACTAAGAAAAAAATGTATTTCATTCCACAAACATGTCAATGGAGGATTTGTGTCTATAAAATGCAATGTCTAACTAACAAGAATGCAATGAGTTCAATATATTGGTTGTTAAGAGGAATATGACTATAAAATGAATTTTTTTCCTTGGCGGCTACAATGATTTACTTGAGGGCTTGCACCCAAGGATACTAGCACTTCCTTGGCGGTTTCTAGTTACACCCAAGGAAATGTGAATTACCTTGGCAGTTTGTAATAACACTCAAGAAAATCTAAATTACCTTGGCCTAGTGGTGCGACACAACATTGAAAAAATCATGCAGAAAATGGCGAGCCAACTCGAGTCGGCTTAGCCGACTGGGCCAGCCGACTTGGGCGGCTCTTGCCCCATGGTCAACTTAGCTGACCCCCAGTCGGCTAAGCTGGCTGAGGATGCCTGTCCTGGACCTCGTGAAAGGCGGCTTTGTTGACTCCACAATCGGCTAAGCCGACTCCCCTTGGAAGTTCCGAACTGATTCATTTCCAAATGGGTTTTGACATGTTTTTGACGTGGAAAACTTGGAGAACACATATTGGATTTGTTTTGTACTGGGATAAGACCACCCCCTCTATATATATGAGACGATCATGACCGATTGAGTTCCTAACTATCCAATCATCAAAAATCAATCTACAGCACCCTTTACCCCCTTTCCAACCCATCCTCACCACAAGGGCAAAGGGTTTTTGTGGCGACAATTTTCGTCACAAAAAGCATGTTTTTTCACCACAAACTAACCTTTGTGGTGACTTTTTAAATCACCACTAGTCACCACAAATACTCCCCTCACAAATACTCTAGTGATCATTTTTTTGTTCCCCACAAATGGTTGTACTCATTAGTGATCAATTGTGGTGCCACTAGTAAATTGGCCATTAGAGATTTGGCGGCGTTCTAAGTGGCCATACTGATCCTAGGACACCCTCCACGTGTTGCTTCCCGACTGGTCTTCCTAGGATAAGTTCGGAAGTCTATCAAGCCAAGAACAGGCTCAACATCGACATAACTGGTCTTCCTAGGATAAGTTCGGAAGTCTATCACGCTGCATTCCCTTGTTGCTATCTATGTTGTTTGCAACCTCCTGGGTGTGCTAGCCCCTGCTGGTGTGTCATTTGGACACCCTCCAACGTCAACAGTATGCTAACAAACCACCACAAAGATAAACATAAGCAACTCATAAAAGGAAAAAAATACCACAAAGTAATGAATTAATGGATTTTTTGCCTTTGATAAGAATCAACTCTTAGAAGTGTGGCTGAGGTAGTGGCCTAGTGGGTGAGCTGGATAAAACTAGAATCACTCGGAGATCACTCAATAAGATCAACTAGCACCGGAGGTTACTCTGTGGGCTTCTAAACTTGGATAACTCGGAGATCACTCGACGAGAGCACCGAAGGTTACTCTATGGGTTTCTAAAAGAAGAGCCAATTTCAATTATCACAAATATCAAATCTCAACTCTGTTTCAAATGATGGATTATATGGTTTATTTATACTAAAAACATCCCTCATATTTGGGTGTGAATATAAATATAAATGAAAGTATATTGAAGGTTATCTTAGTGGAGCATTTGAGGAGTCTTCTTCCATTCTTGCGTAGCCACAAACAATCTATGCAGCCTTAACAAAAATGGCCATAACTCCTAGCTTGGAAGTCTAAAAGATACATCATTTGTTGTGTTAGAAACTAGACATACATATATTTCCAATGGTATAGTGATTGGTGAGGTTTGCATAACTCTTGATGCACGGTGCTTGATTGCGTGCACCATTGTTCTACCCAGAGGGGCTTGTAATCTTGTGAGATCACACTAACTGTGTTTGTGGTGTGGCCAACAATGGTGTATTGGAGGGAATGAGGCCCGCAACATTTTGGCCAGAAGCTCAATAGCGAACACATTGGGGAGTGGTCCAGGAGGGGCCACACTAAGATCCACTTGCGCATGGAGAAGGCCCTTGGACTATCCATGGAGTTATCCAACCAAGAGCTTGGCCCTTGTGAGGGCACCCTTGAGACGGGCTCCAATGAGGACTTGTGGGAAGCATGAGCTTCTCGATACACAAGGAAAAATCACCATCACAAGAGTTTGCATTCTGTAACTCATTTACATTTTTGCACTTACTTGCAATCCTTAGCTCTAGGCAACCACAGTCTCTGATCATCCACACAACTTATGATTCAAAAAGTCAAAATTTCTCTCCTCATTGGTTCATCCGGTCAACACATTAATTTTATAAAATTTTAGGTATTACATTCTCCCCTCCTTCAATAGAATTCATCCTCAAATATTTATTATTACCTACTCATGAAAAGAAACTTACATTACTAAAATTAAATAAGAAATTAAG